GTAATACATCAATGGATGTGAAGACTGTATTTTTAAATGGTGATCTAGATGAAGAAGTTTACATGAAACAACCAGAAGGATTTGTCGTACCCGGTCAAGAACACAAAGTTTGTAAGCTTCTTAAATCACTTTATGGATTAAAACAAGCTCCAAAACAATGAAATGAGAAATTTAGAAGAGTAATGATTTCTAAAGGCTACTCAATTAATGGTGGTGATATTTGCATATTTAGCTAATTTCAAGAAAAAATTGGTGTTATAATATGTCTCTATGTAGATGATATGTTGATCTTTGAAATTGATATTGAAAGAATCAAAGAAACAAAATCATTTATAGCTTCTCAATTTGAAATGAAAGATCTTGGAGTAGTTGATGTAATTTTGGGCATTAAAATCTTCAAATTAGCGAATGGCTTGACACTTACTCAATCAAGTTATATTGAGAAAGTTCTAAAAAGGTATGGTCACTTTGATGACAAATCTGCTCCGACACCATTGATCCTAGCATCAAACTAATGTGAAACTCTTATGTTGTTCTTGATCAGCTGACATATTCTCATATCGTTAGGAGTCTTATGTATGTCATGCATCGTACCAGACCGGATATTAGTTATGCAGTAGGAACTTTGAGAAAGTTTACTAGCAATGTCCAGCGTTGAACATTGACATGCCTTAATTCGTGTTTTAAAATATTAAAGGGTACGATTAATGTTTGCCTACATATTCTACATTTCCAGCTATTCTTGAAGGCTATAGAGATGCTTCTTGGAATTCTGATCTAAATGACTCTACTACTTTGAATTTTCACTTTGACTTGAGCAACGATCTCTTGGAAATCAAAGAAGAAGACATGTATTACTCATTTAAACATGGAGTCAGAATTTATAGCTATTTCTTTTGTTGGAGAAAAAGCTTATTAGCTACGATCTATGCTGATAGATATTTCTTTTTGGAGAAAGTCAGTACCACCTTTAACTATATGTTGTGATAATCAAGCTGCTATATTTCGGGTTTCAAGTGATTATTATAATGGCAAGTCGAGACAAGTTTGTCTCAAACACAATCATGTAAAAAGATAATTGGAGGAAGGCATAATATTGCTTCAATATGTGAAATTCATATTTAATTTTGCGAGATCCTTTGTCTAAAGGATTAGGCAAGGGGTTAGTGGTGGAAACTTGTAATGGGATGAGAATAAAACATATAGTAAATTTCTTGTACTACATGGTAACCCTACCTAATGATGTCATCTTGGGTTCAAAGGGAAAAACAAGTAAAGTTACAATTGTGAAGCACATAAATAAAATTTCCATCATTAAATAAAATAAGTAGATGAACACAATTGAGATTTTTTTCTCTTAATAAATTTATAAGACCGACCTCGATTGGAGTTAATAAGAAAACTCTTGATAAATTTTTTGGATATTCCTACTAAAGAGAATGATGAGATTATTCTCTTTATAAGTCTATAAGGCGATTTCGATTGGAGTGTGTAGGAATACTCTTGATAGATTTACCGACACTTTGCTGTAAAGGAGGATGAGATTAATTTCTCTTAATGAAGTACATAGACTATTTGATCGGAGTATGCAAAGTTACTCTTGATGAATTCATCGCACTAAGTGCGAAGTGGAGGCCGCTTCAATAAGATTTTAATAGGAAAATCTTAAAGCACTTGGCAAAAAGGATTCAGGACACATTACCGTAAGGTGTCAAAGGAATTCGATTTTCACCGGAACGTAGTGATATGTATGGAGTATTTTTCTATTTCATTCAATGAACCACTTAATTCAAGATTCGTTCACTAAGTAGACAATGATTTAGAAAGCCTTTACTAGCTTATGATTCAAGTCCAAAGGACACCATTATTGATGCATGTCGCTAGATTAATGTCTCAAAATATTTTTTGGATTTTTCAAAGATAAAATTTCTTAAAAAAAGTGGGAAATTGTAAGAGTTATTGCTTCAATTAAATCTGAAACAAAATTCATCCGTTAAAAGTTTTGAAATAACAAAATAATGAATGTGAGTTGTAACATTCTTTTTTGTTTTAATTCTATGTCATAAGATTTTTAAAAAGGCTTTTTAATTCTACGTTATGGATATTTTGAAATATAACTTTTATTTTCAATTCATGAACCTATAATAAATTCTATTAATTAGACGTCTTTTTCTTGCAAAACTTTTATTCTATAAATTGAGTTTCTTTTGGTTAAAAAAGATAAACATTCAAAAAAAAAATCAATTTCCCTTGAAAAACACTTGTGAGACATTAATCAAAAGGTGAAATCACCCATTCAAGAATAAAAGAGCAACATTGTTGAATGCTACTTGTTCTGTGGCTTAGTTGAATTTTGAATATAAATTGAGTATTCATCCAATTGCTCGTAGGAGAGACTCCAACTATTTTCAAGAAACGTATTAACGTGCCTCTAAACCAAGTAAATTTTATTTTGAATTCCTTATATTTTTAACACTCTTGTTTAGTTGTTTTAACAACCACCCCCCAACCCCCGCCCACCCCACCCCTTTTTTTCCTCCTCCAAATACCCTACCCCTGTTTTCTGCACTATTTCATTACCCAAAAATACACCCGAAATACCCCCTCCCCATTCTTGTATTCTCCAAACGCCCCTATTCCTTTTGCAGAAAAAAAAAGACTTCAAAATGGATTATTTAAATAAAAAATTCGACTTCCATTGAAGGAGCTTAAATCTTGAAAACATAGTGGAAGGTGATGACTTGAAAATAGAGAAGAAGTAGAAAAAATAAAATAAAAATGGCTAAAATATGTTTTTTATGTGTTATTGTTGAGTGTATCATACTTACTTTGACATGTCAGCAAAAAATGTCAAAATAATACAATGAGACTTTACATGAGGTGTTTAAAACGATTATCATCTAGTTGAAATGCCTAACTAAAATTTGGTGTCAACTTTAGGATGTCACCGATGAGTTTGACCTATAATATATGATAATATGCTATAATATGATTATACCCTCAATTAATTACTTTGAAAAAAAATTTAAAAATTTTAAATTTTAAATTCACCCCTTCATAAATAATAGAAATAAAATCATAAAGTCACTCTATTAATTATTTTTATTTATTATTAATAGATATGACAAGTACAAAAATAGCAAGTACGAAATAGTAATATCAAAGGAGAAAAATATCATAACTCACTATAAACACAACTCACTTTCTTTCTCTCACATCGGCATGACAAAATAAGAATATCAAAAGGAGCAAGTGCCATTTTTTATAATGCAAATAATACTCAAACAACGCTTCATATTATTCCACATTCCACCATGTTATTGGCCAAATATCACATCGATAAACAACACGCACTCACAGTATTATTATTTATTTATTATTTAGAAAAGAGACGATGTCAGAAATATTTTGGATGATATATCAACGTGTTTTTTCAATTCAAATTTAATTAATATTTATGTCATTTAATTTTAGATATTTATAACAATATTTAAATTTATATTATAAAATTAAATAAATAAATATACTCATATATTTCTTTTTGTCATATTTGTCATTTGTAAGTTCATCCATCTGAATTTAATGATATGTTTTTATGATATCTTTTCATAATTATTACAATAAAAATAAAAATTAATTTTATTTTAATTTCTTTGAAAAGTAAATAGGTCAGAGGAAGTACAACAACACATTTTTTATTTTATCTCTCGAGTATACAATACAATAGATTTATCATTTTATCTATAAAGTATTTAAGGTACTTGTTATTTTATTTCTCAAGTAGTTTTTGTATTTATTTTTACTTGTTTATTATACTAAAATCACATTAATTTGTCAATTTTAACATATCAAAAATGAAAAAAATCATGTTTACTTTTAACATTAATTACTAATTTTTGTAATTTTTAAAGCTTATTTTAATGGACTTGTATAGTTTTATGGCTTGTAAATCAAAAGTCATAAATTTAAATTTTTTAACTTATGAATTATTTTTATTATTTTAATTTAAAATATGTCTGATTAAAAATATTTTTTTATTCTACCTAAATATTGAAAATCAACTAAAAACTATATTGACTTGAAAAGAATCGGATAAGTCATTTCAAATAAGCTCAATGATCATAAATATTTGAACAAACTATGTAGTTAATTTATTTTTTAAAAGATACAATTTATTATGAACAAGTAATATTGAACGAACGAGGACCTAACTAATAATTGATATATACTCTTATATACAAATGTTTAGCTAGCAAAATGTGTTTATTGTTGTGTAAAATATTTGTAGGTCCTATCTAGTCATATATTTTTTAATTATAAAACTTATTTTAATTATTGGGATATTAATTTTTAAATCTCAGAAAAAATTGCATTTATAAATATTAAGATTATCCTAAACTTTCATATTCTATATAAAAAAAAATTCATTTATTACTTTAAATTTGTTTAATTTGATTCGTAAAATATAGATGAGTCGAAAATCGACATTATGGTTCAAGTAGTAGAGAGAAAGAAAGGAAAATGACAAATATACTCCATGAACCATTGTAAATATACCTTCCATCATATTTTTGGGATATTTATTTCTTTGCAGTCCAAAAATTAGAACATATATGCTCTTCACTCTAACGGAAGATCAAATAGGGACACGTGACACAATCTTATCTACCAATTCGATATTTAGTAAATGCCGAATAAATGAATAAAATTATGACACGTATATGACTATTAGTATAAAAAAATATATATGCTCTAATTTTTAGATCATAATAACATTTTTAAAGTATAACAGAGGGTATATTGCATATGATAATTCAAAGATATATTTGTCCGGTAAAAAGACACGTGTAATCAATCTCCTACAATAAACCTTGACCGGGGGAAGAAATAGGAAAAAACCACGCTTACTCCTTGCAAAACTTGTACCTGCCAAAACGGGTAAACTTATTTTCTCTCTTCTCCCATTTTTACATATTAATTTTTTTCTCTTGATTTTTCACATATTATTATCTCATGTCCTAATCAAACTCGAAATGAAAAATCTTCACTCTTTTCTTGATTTTTTTTTGATGTTTAATTTGTTTTCTCAATTACAAATATGTTATTACTGATCTGACATTGTTTTAATTTTTTCGAAATGATTTATCAAAATGAGATAGTTGAAGGGTAGTTGATTGATTAATTAATTTGATGATGTTTTTTGGCACTTGAAATTATCTCTTATAGATCCATGCTTTTTTTTGTTTATGAATTCTATGATTCTGTATAGTGGGCAGTACTCGATGAATGAGTTCGATACTTAATTAGACAGTTGAATGAAGTCTTGATGTTAGTATAAAGTTTTAGATCCAAATATGTTGATGTTGAATGAAATTATGAGCTCTGAACAAAGTTAATAGATCCACTGTGTCGACAGTTTTGAGTTTTTATTATTTTGTGGAATTTACTTGAATAGTTGACTCTGGTTGAGTAGTTGATAGTTGAATGAAGTTTATCTTAGCTTCTGGGTTTTGTATTTTGGATCCAATCTTAACATAAGTGTTTTGCATTTTGAATGAGTTTTTGGACTTGAAATGAGTTTGAAGCAAAGATGGATCTACGGTGTAGCGTATCCCCTCAACAATTAGGTATTTTTTTTAAAAGAAAAATTATGTGTATATATAGATTGTGGATCTCCGAACATAAGATTAAACATTGGCTCAGTGGTTGAGGAATTCAAAATTCGGTTAGAGGTTTCAAGTTTGAAGCTCAAACACTACATTTTTATTTTTCGAATCCCCTTAGTCAAAATCATGGATCCGCCACGGGTTTGAAGAATGTTAATTGGTGCTAATTTTTTTAAATCTAAATGTGTACAAAAGGTGGTGGACTGAATCAGGTCAAACCATTAAATATAGATCTAGTTTGTATTTCATTCTCTCCATCATTGAGGTATTATAATCTGTGTTTAACCGAGATCTGCCTAATCATGATATTTCAGTTTTTCTGAGCTGTAATGAGCAAGATGTTAAGTGTTGTATTTTTCTTTACTGTTCTAATGTCCTTAAAGTGATCATCTTCAAGTCGGCAGTGAAGATTATATGTTTGAGCTTGTACGTAATCACCAATGTTGTAGCATTTTGTTAGGAAATGATTAAAATTCTTTGGAGGTGGTATACAATATTTGTTTATTGGTGAACATTCTATTATATGTTGTTGGACTACACCGAAATATAAAAATTGATTCCCGTGGTCGACTTCTACTGTTGTTTCTTACTGTCTTACTAATGAACTTTTGGATCAGATTTTGTTTGTCGTAACCATGGGATCTTACCTGAACTTCAAGAACTTTGCTGACACATCACAACCAGAGAGCAGTGGGAATAATAGTAATTCTTTTTTGGCCCAACAATCTTCCATATACTCGTTTACCTTTGATGAGCTGCAAAATACATGTGGACTTGGAAAAGATTTTGGGTCGATGAATATGGATGACCTCTTGAAGAACATTGAAGAGTCTCAAGCGTTGTCATCTTCTGCTGCTTTAGGGGGTAATTTGCAGAGACAGGGTTCTTTGACACTGCCTAGGACACTTAGTCAGAAAACTGTAGATGAAGTATGGAGAGACTTTCAGAAAGAGAGTGTTGTTGCTAATGATGCAAGTGGGACTGGAGGATCAAACTTTGGGCAGCGGGAATCTACCTTGGGAGAAATGACATTAGAAGAGTTTTTGGTTAGAGCAGGGGCCGTGCAAGAAGATATGCAACCAGCTGGATACTCAAATGATGTTACATTTGCTAGTGGTTTCACTCAACCTAGTTGTAGTGTGACCATAGCATTTCAACAAGCAACCCAAAACCCTGGACATCAAATTGCAGCGAATAACATATTTAATGTGGTCAGTACCACCACGTCTTCACCACAGCAGCCCCTTTTTCCCAAACAAACAACTGTGGAATTTGCATCACCCATGCAATTAGGGAGCCCAGGGAAAAGGCTTCCCATGTCTAATCCGTCTGCAAATACTAGTAGTGTCATGCAGGGTGGTGTTATGACCATGCCAGTAAAAGGAGTATCCCCTGGAAATCTTGATACATCTTCTCTTTCACCTTCACCTTATGCATGTGGTGAAGGTGGAAGAGGAAGGAGATCATGCACCTCTTTTGAAAAAGTTGTTGAGAGAAGGCGTAAGAGGATGATAAAGAACAGGGAGTCTGCGGCCAGATCAAGGGATCGGAAGCAGGTGAATTTATATTTTGAATTTGGCTTATGAGTTAATTCTTTTGTTTCTGATTCTTGAGGCCTGTGCCTGTTTTTTCTGGTTTCCTTTGTCTTTTAAAATCTGTCACTCTGGTCAAGGATTCGATACAATTCAACAGAATCTAAGAAATGATCAAAATAGAAATGATTTTCGAATTTGATTCTATAAAAATTCCTGTTTCATTTTTGAATGAAGTTAGACGATAGTCCAGGTGCACTTCTTACTTCTATCTATACATTTCCAGATATCATTGCTTCGATACGGTCCCGAATCCGTTTCACTTCATTCTTCCCCGAGCGGGAATACGTCGCTTACAATATTATTAAAGAAAGGGCGCTTATCAGCTCTACAACTTTTAGTGCCATATCTTCCAAAACCAAGTTGTGTACCGTCCGGTTTGCAACCCCTACTACATCTGCCTTTACAATATTTACTATATTTTGTACATTTCGGATATAGCATGTCCCCCCTTTTTTTGACTATATGAAATCTAATTCATTCTCCCATCGAGAGGATCAAAAGCGCGATAAAGAAAGATAGATTCATAGTGGGGTGATGTGCCTGCGCTAGGTATTTTCTTTCTTCTGGCCGTAGGTGTGATCAAACTACTCATTCATTCAACTCAATGACACAAATGAATTAGTAGTTGGCAGAGTTTCTCACACCTCCTTTTTCTCCTTACTTTAGTTTAGACCTTGCAATGCATGTGGGGGTGGGGTGGGGGAGTCGTGAGAGTGCGAGGAAGATTTTAACATGCTGGGATGCTCCAGGCTGGTTTGAGTATCAGTTTAGTGTTATGAAATGATAATGCCATTAACGGACTTCTTCATTTGTCTGGGATTTGTCAGGCATATACTTTAGAGTTGGAAGCTGAAGTAGCAAAGCTTAAAGAAATTAAGCAAGAGTTGCAGAAGAAACAGGTATGATAACCATGTTTGCGAATTACTGGATTACTTTAATATTCTTGATAAGTGTTATGGTTGTGTAACCACGGGTTTTGAATGCTTCATGCAGGCTGAATTTATCGAGAAGCAGAAAAATCAGGTATAGACTTCTTTCCTGCTGTCAATATGTTGTACGAATTACGATTAAAATACTTTTTCCTACTTAATCATAGGACTAGATACAGGGATATTGTGAATTAAACAATCTAAGCAATAGAATTAGCAATTGAAATAAGGGCAGGAAGTAGATAATTTACTAATAGCAAAATGATTAAAGCTTCAAATGGCTGTACAGCTTTTCTATAAAAGTCATCAGCTGTTAAGACGTGATAACTTCGCGAAGGAAACTGTGTATGTGATTTGTTAAGCCAAGTTGTTCGTCTATAGGTCAAATGAGCTAAATGTGGTTGTTAAGTAGTCTGTTTTGTCCAATTACAGTTATTGGAAAAGATGAATGTGCCATGGGAAAATAAACTAATATGCTTGCGAAGGACAGTGACGGGACCTTGGTAGTCAGTAGAAGAGCAAATTCCCGAGTAAACACTCGGAGAATTGGTAGACAGGAGATTGAAGTGAAATAGCTTTTCCTTCCTCTTTTTTGTTTCAACAAACAAGTTCAGAGCCTGCTCCTCGACCCTCCTCCCAGCCTGTGAATTAAAATATGTTCTAATTCACATATGTTGGTCACAGGATAGATAACTTTATGTATCGACTATAGTACAGGACAGGTGCTGTGTACCTGTACGTTATGTAAACAATGTTCTTGCATAAAGTTTCCTCATGTGCTTTTTTTGTTTGTTTCACCGTATGATTTTTGGGGGCAAGTAGGTTTGTCTCTTCTATGTCAAGCTTTTGTTTAAATAATCACATGAACCAAATATCTGCAAGTAACTTTCTTACATGTGCAGCTCCTTAAAGTTGCCGTGATCATTCATTTTGGTACTTCAACTAATGTTGGTTCCTACAAGATGCCAGAATGTATTAAAATAATGTTAAATAGAATGTTAGTAGTGTTGACATTAGTAATGTTGATATTAGCTATGCTTATATTAATTATTATGTATAAAATATTTTTTGTGCATTGTTTGGTTTGATGTATTTAAAAAAATGTCTTGTATAAAAATATTTATTACAAAAGTATCCTCCATAATTAGAGAAAATGGCCAAAAAACCCCTCAAGCTATTACCGAATTTTTAACTACACATTTATTCTTCACGGGGATTCTATCACCCCCTAAAACTGTTAAAAGTGAAATATCTACCCCTGCAAACTCATGCTAAGATTTGTATTCAGTGGTATTCACCACGCGCTGTCACGTATTGCCCTTTTTTCATATTAAAAAAATAATTATTCTTTTATATTTTATTTTTTTATTTTATAATTTCATCTCCTCCTTTTCTGTTTCTTTTCCATTCCTCCATCTCTTTTTCCTTGAAGCTTCTGCAAATTGATGAGAGGACACCATGACCATCAAAACTTCGACCTTCCCCAAAATTCTACATACCATCAAATCTTGTTTTCTAGAGCTAGAGACAATCGAAAAACTCTATCACTATACATTGCTTCTTCTCCACTACTATCATATTCTGAAAGATCGATTCCTCAAAGAATCACCACTTGCTTGTCAGAATAAAGGTGCCAAACTTGCAGAGGGAGTAGTATTGATTTAGATTTAATAATGTTGCTATGAGAAACACAATTGACAACAACTTCAATAAATGGGTCTTCTTTATTAAAATGTGTTACCCAATAATGAATTTTTCTCCATTAGTTGAATCTATTACTTAGTGAACTCCTGCAGTAATGACAAGTCTAAAGTTATATTCTTCTAACTTCCAATACTGATTTGGATTTTGGTTTTTATTTTGAGCTACCAACAAATTTACAAAGTGATGAAAAACATGTGATTCGAAATGAGAATTGACTTAGTGATGAAAACCTAATGGGGGCGGTGATCTAGTGGTCGAGGTGCCACTAGTATCTAGTATGGATCTGATGATGTAGATGGAAGGGAAGATTAAAGAAGTTAAAATAAATAAATAAAAAGGAAACATATTTTTCATCAAAAGAATAGACTAATAATATGAATTAAATTAAATGTTTATAAAGTTGATATTTTAATTATTTTTTTATCTCTCACTCTCCCAAAGAGAGTGAACTACACCTTCTTTGCCACATCAACTCTTAGGGACAAAATAACTCCATTTAAAATATTTTAGGGGTGTAATAGGACTTTCGCAAAATATGAGTCTGTAGTTAGGAATCCGACCATAGGTTGAGGGGGCTTTTGGCCATTTCCGCTCAATATTTATAGTTAAAAAGATGTAAAAGTACTTTTGAGGGGTGATTGGATTTTTAACCATGCTAATGCATTTATTAAATTTATTTGCATTATTAATACCTAAATATCTATGGTATTAGTAATACACTTCTTGTTATGGCATTTTAATATTATTATCATTTTAATATTATTATAATGTGCTATATGTCATTTGTACTATGCCTACACATTATTTTGGTGTCTTAACTCGTGATCGGTCATTGGTCATCCACTAAGTGGATGAAAAATGTAGCAGAAACATTCTAGTGAACGTTGGGATTAGGCAGAATGTTAATTTGCCGTTGGATGCATTTGTTGCCCTCACTTTATTTTCATTCTTTATTCCTCAATAATACCTTATAACATATGTAACTCCTAAGACCATTATCTATACTATTTACTACAACATTATCTTCCTATTCATTGCTAGGAAGACTTTCTCAACTATAAATGTAATAGTCTTCATTTGGTTAAACACACAACACACAAGAGAAAAATATCGAGTGAAAGAGTCAGTCAAAAAGAGAGTATTTATTAGTTGAAGGGAGATGTTCTTTTGTGGAGCTTTACACTCAACTCTTGTCCAGAATTGTTGAGTTATCTTTTGTGAATAGGTTGTTGTATCGTGGAGGAGACAAGTCAAAGAGGACTACTGTTGGACTGGTGAAAACCTTTGCTGCAGTGGGCTTGAATCTCCTTAAAGAGAGTGAGATATCCGCGCCTCATCCTGAAGAGATTTATTTTTTCATTTTATTTTCAATTGTAGTCTTTCAATTTTATTATCTTGTAAGTTTTTTCACTATTAATCTTAAGGAGATTCAAGATGGCTACAATTGAAAAAATTGCGGATGTCAAGATGGGAGACATCAACAAGCCATTTCGGTTCAATGATAATCATTTTAAGAGATGCAAGGGTAAAGTACTTTTGTACTTAAGTCTTCTCAATATTTCTTATGTATTAACCGAGAAGAATCCAAATAAAAAAGATATCACCTCTACGAATGATGATAAAACTATTTCTCATCTAGAGAAAGTGGAAAAGTATGATGGTGATTCCTATAAGTGTCAGTATTATCTTCTTAATTGTCTATGTGATATTTTTTTATGATTATTATGATAGAACTTACACTAGTGAAAAGAAAATTTGGAAGGCATTGCAAAGTAAGTATGACACCGAAGAGGCTGAAGCGAAAAAGTATGCATTAGTAGATTTTTTCATTTTTAAATGGTGGACAACAAATCAGTGGTAGACCAAGCTCAAGAGTTTATAATGATCGTTGGAGAGCTTAGGTATGAAGAGGTTAAAATTGGAGATAACTTTATTGTTGGTGGCATAGTGGATAAACTTCCACCTTCTTGGAAGGAATTTCAAAAAATTATGCACCACAAACAAAAGGAAACTTCTCTTGAAACCTTGATAATGAAAATCTGCATTGCAGAAGAAGCAAAGGGCCAAGATGCACTTTAACAAACAGAAGAGAACAACATCACAACAAATGTAAATTTAATAACTTCGAATAGTGCTACTCCTGAAACTCACAAAAATACTTCTTTAAAGCCTAGAAAGAAAAAATTCAAGAAAAATAATGATAGTCATCCCAAGAAAAATAATGGTGGAAATCATCAAGCACAAAATCATCAAGTTCAAGAAAAGGGATCATGCTTTGTTTGTGGCAAGAGTGGGCATATTGCTCGATTTTACAGATTGCGGAAATGTGGTCCTAACCCTCAGACAAATGTTATCGAAGAACCTTTTGTGGCGGTGATTATCGACATAAACATGGTTGAGAATGTTGATGGATGGTGGGCTGATTCTAGTGCAAACCGTCATGTGTGTTGTGACAAAGACTGGTTTAAAAAATATACTCATGTTGAGGAGCCCAAAATCATCATGCTTGGTGATGCTCACAATACTCAAGTGCTTGAAAAGGGAGATGTTGAGTTGTGTTTTACTTCTGAAAGGTTATTAACATTGAAAGATGTACTTTATACTCCTTCTATGAGAAAAAATTTGATGTCTAGTTTTCTTCTTAATAAAGCAGGATTTAAACAAATTATTGAATCTGATCAATATGTAATAGTGAAGAAAAGTGCTTTTGTGGGGAAGGGGTATGCATGTGATGAGATGTTTAAGTTGAATGTTGAAACGAATAAAACTTCTTCTTCTGTTTATATACTTTCTTCTACTAATGTTTAGCATGCTCGTTTGTGTCATATTAATGATCGTTATGTTGGAATCATGAGTAGATTATGATTAATCCTAATGGTTAAAAAGAATTTTGAAAAGTGTAATGCTTCACTAATAGGCCTCATTTTAAGTTGAAAGAAAAACTGCTCTGTTAGAATTAGTTGATACTAATATTTGTGAACTTGGTGGAATTCTAACTCGTGGAGTTAATAGATATTTTATCACTTTTTTGATGATTTTTCTAAGTTTACATATGTTTACTTGATGAAAAATAAAAGTGATGCTTTTGAAAATTTCAAAACTTATCTCAATGAGGTTGAAAATCAGTTTGGAAGAAAAATAAAAAGAACTAGAAGTGATAGAGGCCGTGAATATGAATCAAATTAGTTTAATTTTTTTGTTAGATCATTGGAAATAATTCACGAAACTACTCCTCCTTACTCTCTTTCATCTAATAGAGTAGTAGAAAGGAAAAATAGAACTTTGGTTGAATTGACTAATGTCATGCTTATTGAGTCACATGCACCTTTAATTTTTTGGGGTGAAACTATCTTAACTGCTTGTTATGTGTTGAATCGTGTGCCTCATAAAAAGTCCAATTGTGGAAAGATTACAAGTCATGTTTGGGATATCTAAGAGTTTGGGGTTGTCTAGCCTTTGTGAGGCTAACGGATCCCAAGATTACAAAGTTGGGTAAGAAAGTTAATACTTGTGTTTTTCTTGGTTGTACTTCAAATAGTACATCCTATAAATTTTTTAATCTTGAAAATAATATTGTGATAGAATCAGGTGATGCTATTTTTCATGAAAACAAGTTTTCTTTTGATTCTAAAAATAGTGGGGGTCAAAGAATTGAACAAAATATTTTGTCACTACCTAGTTCTTCTACTTCTACTTTGAAAAATAAAGAAGTTGATGGTTTTGAGATAATAGGAAGTAAAAAATCTAGAGTAGAAAAAGATTTTGGTCCAAACTTTTATGTGTTTAATGTTGAAAATGACCCTCTAACTTTGAAAGAAGCATTATCATTACATGATTCTATTTTTTGAAAAGAGACTTTAAATGATGAAATGGAATCATTAATTTCTAATAAAACTTGAAAACTAGTGGAGTTACCACCAGGTTATAAAACTCTTGGTTGTAAATGGATCTTACGAAAAAAGTTTAAATCGGATGGTTCTATTGATAAATACAAGGCTAGGCTAGTTGCTAAAGGTTTTAAACAACTAGAAGGCCTATGATTTTTTGATACTTTTTCTCTGTTAACAAGAATTACATCCATTAGATTTTTAGTTGTTATGGCTGCAATTTTTAATTTGCAAATTCATCAAATGGATGTAAAAACTGTTTTTCTAAATGAAGACCTAAATGAAGAAATTTATGTGGATCAACCCGAGTGTTTTATTGAAGCAGACCAAGAAAGCAAAGTATGTAAACTTACTAAATCTCTATATGGCTTGAACTAGGCACCAAAACAATTGCATGAAAAGTTTGATTCATGCATGATTGAAAATGATTTTAAAACAAATGAGTGTGATAAGTGCATATATCATAAGTCTTGAAATAATTCACATGTGATTATTTTCTTATATGTTGATGATTTGTTGATCTTTGACTCTAACATGAATGTTATTGATGAAGCTAAAAATGTTCTTAGAAACCATTTTGATATGAAAGATCTTGGTGAGACAAATTTTACTCTTGGAATAAAAATAACAAGAATATGTGAGGAAATTTTCCTTAACCAGTCATATGTTGGGAAAATATTAAAAAAATATAACTTTCATGATTGCAAGCATGTTGCTACTCCTTTTGATTCAATTGTTCATTTATTTCCTATTGAAAGTGAAAATGATGTAATAAATCAGAAGGAATATGTTAGTATAATCGGAAGTTTGAGATATGTGACTGATTGCACTAGGCCTGATATTGCATATGCAGTAGGAGAACTTGGCAGGTTACAAGCAAGCCAGGTAATGAACATTTGCATGGTGTAACAAGAGTTATGAGATATTTAATTGGAGCGAAAAATTGTCGTTTGTTCTATAAAAAATAACCTACTTGAAGGTTTTTGTGATGCAGATTGGAACACTTTATCAGGTGATTCATGTTCTACCACTAGTTATTTCTTTACTTTAGGTGGTGGTGCTGTTTGTTGGAGATCAAAAAAGCAAACTATAATTTCTAACTCTAACATGCAGGCTGAACTAATTGCTTTAGATTCGCTTAGTGAGGAAGCGAATTTGTTAAGAGATTTATTGTTTCAAATTCCTTATTTTGAAAAATCAATTCCTCCTATTTTAATTTATTGTAATAGCACCGCTGCAATTGGTAGAATTCAAAACCGTTATTACAACGGTAAATCCAGACTTATTAGGAGGAAACACAGTAATATAAGATCGTATTTGACAAATGGTACCATTAATGTTGATTATGTCAAATTTTGTGATAATCTTGCAGATTCTCTTACTAAGTCCTTAACAAGAGAAAAAAGTCTGGAGAACATCGAGGGGGATGAGATTGAAGCCTATAATCCTTGAGTCATATATGAGGAAACCCAACTTGGGGACTAGAGATCCTATAATCAGGTTCAAAGGGAAAAATTAATCATATGATGACTTCTTGTGAAAAATGCACTATCTTTTTATTCCCTTCATATGATGTGAGTGCATTGTTTCCTGTAGTTTGTGAAGATTGGGTTGATAAAACTCTTAATGAATATCTGTAGCCCATATGGGTGGAGTGTTAATCTTACAGGATTACTCTCGACAGATTTCACCTATATGATGTGCAAAAATTGGTTGCTTCCTATGAGAATGGGGCTTATTCTCAAATGCACTCACAAAACCGGGATAGCACATGACCATAACGTGCTGGCTTTAAAGCTCATGTCAACACCTTTATTATTATGTGTGAGCAGTGATATTTTATTTCACTTAAGCAGTAATAGTTCAAGTCTGAGACCACTACAACTCCTAAGTAAAAGTTACTATTTCACTAAGATGAGGTTCAATGCTGAGCACACCTTCATTATACATGATAATCTACCTTTAACTGATATAATCTCTTATCTAATACTTAAAATGAGTGGGTGATTGTTGTGGCATTTTAATATTATTATCATTTTAATATTATTATAATGTGTTATATGTCATTTGTACTATGCCTCGCTGGAGATTATTTTGGTATATTAACTCATGATTGGTTATTGGTCATTGACTAAGTGGATAAAAGATGTAGCAGAAACGATCTAGTGAACGTTGGAATTAGGCAGTATGTTAATTTGTAGTTGGATGCATTTGTTGCCCTCACTTTATTTTTATTCTTTATTCCTCAATAATACCTTGTAATATATGTAACTCCTAAGACCATTATCTATACTATTTACTATACCATTATCTTCCTATTCATTGTTAGGAAGACTTTCTCAACTATAAATAGTGATGGTCTTCATTTGTTTAAACACACAACACACAAGAGAAAAATATAGAGTGAAAGAGTCAAAAAGAGAATTCTTATTAGTTGAAGGGAGGTGTTCTTATATGGAGCTTAGACTCAGCTCTTGCCCAGAGTTGTTTGTGAATAGGTTGTTGTATCCCGGAGGGGACAAGTCAAAGAGGATTACTGCTGGACCGGTGAAAACATTTGTTGCAGCAGGCTTGAATCTCCTTAAAGAGAGCGAGATATCAGTGCCTCAGCCTGAAGAGATTTATTTCTTCATTTTATTTTCATTTATAATCTTGCAATTTTATTATCTTGTAAGTTTTTTCACTAACAATTTTAAGGAGATTCAAGATGGCTACAATTGAAAAAATCTCAAATGTCAAGATGGGAGACCTCAACAATCCATTTTGGTTCAATGGTAATCATTTTAAGAGATGGAAGGGTAAAGAATTTTTCTACTTAAGTCTTTTCAATGTTTCCTATGTATTAACCGAAAAGAATCCAAATAAAGAAGACATCACTTCTATGAATGCTGATAAAACTATATCCCATCTAGAGAAAGTGGAAAAGTACGATGGTGATTCTATAAGTGTCGATATTATCTTCTTAATTGTCTATCTAATAATTTTTCTGATTATTCTGATAGAACTTACTCTAGTGCAAAGAAAATTTGGAAGGCATTGCAGAGTAAGTATAATACCGAGAGTGTTAGTAATCTCATTAGATTGTTTAATATTATTTCTCATGCACAGTTTTGATTTAGAGTATTAAATTACATGTATTGCATAATTTCTAAAAATATGATTTGTTTATTGAAATACCTTCTAATACGGTGGAAAAAATTTGAAAAATATTTTTAGGGGCAATTGCATCTTTGATCATGCTAATGTATGTATTAAAAAATATTGTATTATTAATACTGTGGTTTGGCGTGTATTAGTTATACATATCAGAATACCAAATAGAATGTTAAACAATGGTTAACTTAATTATACATAGGTTGAAAAAGTATACAAAACAAGATATCAATAATTAGATAAAAGAATACGTTTTTGCACCATTTTTTTTGTAGAAAGCTTGACCAACTACAAAAAGTGTTTGATCAAAGCCAAAAAGTGGGCTGTCACAACCCAAAAACGGGTGTGATGACACTTGTCTTATCCCACCAAGACAAGTGAGCCTAAAACACAACTAATACAATAAAATGCAGAAAATTTACTACAACTTAAATTATATTCTCAAAACCTGGTTGTCACGTGTACAAGCCTCTATAGTATTACAATTGATTCAAAAAAATTTATAAGTCTCATATGATATTGTTTCTAGAGTATAACAAGATCATAAATAGGAGTAAGAAGGCTACGTCACAAATCTCCAAGAAGCCTCGGAAAAGAAGAC